GGGCGGGGGGGGGGCCGGGCCCCGGGCCGGCACCCCGCGGCGTTGCTCCCGCGCCTCACTCAGCCAGTGAGCGGGAACCGGTCTGTATGTGGGATCCGAACCCTCGGGCGGGAGTGCCACTGAGCTCCCAAGCGGCGCACTATCCAGTGCGCCACCGGGCCGGCCCATGCTCATATACTTTTAAAGAGGATGGATCTCCCCAAGCAGAGCTATACTAATATTGTGACTGAGAACTGTCTTCAGAGGCTCTAGTAGGCTCTGTATGGTCCTAAAAGAAACTTCAAATGCAGAAAGGGCACCCCCAGCCCCCCAGTGTGGATACAGAAATTAACAGACTTCTTATAATGATTTCTCCAGGAGAGGAAGACAGGCAGTGCAAGAAGACATCAACAAAAAAAAGAGGGATGCCTGCTCTACTCACTGGGCCAGCCCCTGCTTCCTGTGCTCTGATGGGAAGAAAGGAGCCCCCCGCTCCAGCCAGTAGAGAGCCCCCACCACCCAGCACCTCCCAGACAGAGCATGTCAGGACCCTTGGGCCCCAATGGGCAGAGATCGCGGAGGCTCCAGCTGCACCTACCAAGCTGCAGGGCACCCAGCTCATCGTCCGCATTATTAGATGCCAACTGGTTATTCCTGGAAAAAAGAAAATGTCAATGTACCACTGGAGAATGACAAACACAAACAGCAGAGAAGGCCGAAAGGAGTTTTCGATGGGGGTACGGGAGATGGGTTCTCCTAGCCCTGGCCCTGCCACTCAGTTTGCACCTCGAACAGCCACAGGTTCCCCATAGGATGGGACCAAATGGCCTCCAACATGCCTGTCAACTCTGTTCTCTCAAAGAGGCACATGCACCAGCCAGTACAGGATGGTAAATTCTGTGGTTTGACACCTGCCAAGCACTGAGTGCAAGTGTATATCACTGATGCCACTGTGATACTCCTGGGAAACACATAGCACTGCCCAGAAGTTTACCATCCCATCTCTGTGGGGTTTTTGTTGGTTTGTTTCCTCTTTCCCAGCTTTCTTATAAAGCCATCCCCAGCCATTTATAAGAAACCACTGAAATGCACCAAGGTGTTTAAAGGAAACTATCCCGCATCCTTTTGTTACTTGAAAAATTGCCCTGTGTTTCTGTGTTTATAATTTGTAAATGCAGGTATGTGCACACAAGCTTTCTTAAAATAGTCCACCTGTATTTTAGTTCTCTTTAGAGATTTTTCCTCCAGCATGCATTGACCTGAACTAAAGTAAAATCATTTTTTAAAAGAATGTATTAAAAATAACACTATTATATCACTCTCTGAAAAAAAAAAATGACAGCTCTTTTGAATGCAGCATTGAAATATATTTTCCTCCAACATCCTTGCAGGGTGAGATATGGCTGAAGTAACAATCACGATCTTGCCATGGCACATGCTATTGAATTGGCTTCCTCCTGAAGATGTATGAAGGGGCGTGAGTGGAAGACCACCGAGGACACACAGTACCAAAGCTGTGAGCATCAGGGTGAGATATGGCTGAAGTAACAATCACGATCTTGCCATGGCACATGCTATTGAATTGGTTTCCTCCTGAAGATGTATGAAGGGGCGTGAGTGGAAGACCACCGAGGACACACAGTACCAAAGCTGTGAGCATGCACACTTCTTTGACCTCCCAGTTCTTTCTCTGGACACAGAGCTCCCACCTCTCCCTCCCAGGCAGCCCTCATCTTCCATGTGTCCTCCCCACTCAGCCAAGCCATTTTCTTCAATTCAAAACCACAAAATCCCTACGTTCCTATGCTACTGGGATCCTACAGGCATTCTTGACAGGAATGGAGGAAGAATGATCTGGAAAGAGGAATAAGCATGGACAGATGGTGAGAGGGATGTGGCAGGGGCAGTCAACACAGAGGCTTTCACAGTCCCCCCTCCCTCCCCCCAGTGAGGAGGACAGCACTTTTATCAGGAGCCTCTTCCACCACACTTCTCATACCCCACCTGCTCAGCACAGAAGGCTGAGGAGCTGAGCTCCACTCTGTCTATCCCTTCTGTCACTGTGTCATCTGTCCCTGTCTGAAAAGCAGGGATGGAGGCACCTATACTAGAGGGCCTCTAAAATCCTCCTAAGCCATTTTGAGCAGGGAACAGCAGGAGCAGAGACACTATTGACCATCCCAAGTCCAGTACCTGAGCCCACCTCTGCCCTTTCCTGAGCCCACCTCTGCCCTTTGTCCTCTTCATCTCTCAACCAGATTCTTGCACTAGCCTCCTAACTGGTTCCCTGACCCTCAGTGTGACCCATGCCCCGGCCCCTACATCTTCATGTGGCTGTCAAAGTCATCTTTCTAGGAAGCAAATCCGACCATGACACCGCTGCCTGGTTGAGTTCTTCAAAGGTTCCCCATCATCACCATCAACAACAACAATAATCACATTTATAAAAATAGCATCAATAATAACAACAAATTCTTTCTGGCTCCTTTGACTGTTCCAGGCACTGTGCTAAGTACTTTGTAAGACTCAAAAGTCATCTGCTTATCAAAACAGCTTTATGAAGTAGTTATTTCACTGTGTCTCAGACAGGTTTAGTAACTTTCCCAGAGTTACACAGCAAGTAACTGACAGCACAGGAATTTGAACCCAGGCTATGACTCCAAAGATACTGGCACCAACCACCACACATACAGCTTCCTTATAAAGTAAAATTGAAGACCATTAGGGTGTCCTATAAGACTCTCCATGACCTACTGCCCAGCCTCATCTCTCTCTGAGCCATAGCACACCATCTGCATTTCCTCCACACTGGATGTCTCAGCTCGGGCCTCTGTACCTTTTCATAAGCTGTTCACTCCATCTAGAATACCCTTTGGCAAACTCATACTAATCCACTAAAGCCCAACTGGAATGTCACCTCCTTCTCAACCCTGAAGCATGCATTCCCTCATTTCTTTACTTCCTCACCCACCCAGCACAAGCGTGGGGTTATCTGGCAGGTCTAGCTTCCTCGAAGAGGAGGCCCAGACATGTAAAATGAACAGACATAAATTGCAATATGATATGGTGTGATAGGATGAATAACAGCCCCAGAGATATCCACATCCTAATCCCTGGAACCTGCAAAAGTTACCTTATATGGCAAAGGGGATTTTGCAAATGGGATTAAGTCAAGGATCTTGAGATGAGGAGATTATCCAGTTGGGACCAATGTAGTCACAAGCGTCCTTATAAGAGGGAGGCAGAAAGAGGCTGACACTTAAGATGAGAAGGTGGTATGAAATGGAAGCAAAGATTGGAGTGATGCACTTTAGAGATGAAAGAAGGGGCCATGAGCTAAGGAATGAAGGCAGGCACTGCAAGGTAACAAAAGCAAGGACACAGATTCTCCCCCAGAGCCTCTAGAAAGAACCAGCCCTGCCAACACCTTGACTTCAGACCAGTGGGACTGATTTCGACCTTCAGCCCACCAGAATTATGAGATTATAAGTTCATGTTGTTTAAGCCACTAAATTTGTGGTAATTTGCTACAGCAGCAACAGGACACTAATACCCATATAAGAATTACAACCAAAGAGGAAGAAAGCACTGCAGGATTCTCTTGGGTGTCCAGCTTCTAGCCAGGATTCCATCAATGGATGCTGCATGCCAGAGTGATTCTCACAGAAGCTAGGTGACTTATGCAAGGTGGTACAGCTTAGAAGTGCCAGAGCCAGGACTCAAACCCAGGATGCCGGCCTCAACTGCTCTACTTTGCTCCTTCCTCTAGGTCACACATCCTTCCATTGCCCAGAAACCTCCATGGCTTCCTGCAGGCCATGGCACAAAGTCCACACCTCCCAAGTGGTCCACTTGGCTCTTGAGGACAGGCAGCTGGGCATGAACAGTGGTGAAAGGGTGGAGATGATGTTCCCGCTGGGCAGGGTACAGTGCGGCCTCTCTCCAGTCATGAGACTTCCGTCCAAAGGCCATCCATCAGCTGCAAGAGCCCAGCTCAGATGCCTTGTGTCATTCCTACAGATCTCACCACCAGAGGAGGCTCCAGTCTTGCTTGCTCACAGAGAATGTACTCATTGTTCCTTTCATGGGTCCCTCTATGGCACAGGCATTACAAAGATTAAAAGGTCAGGGTAAATGCATGTTCTTGCCTTTGAGTGAAAGCTATTACAAACAACAATGACAAAAAGATAAATCAAGGGGTTCAAACACTTTTTCAAAGTGTGATTGTGCAGATAACCCAGAGACACGTGTCAAAGTATGCATCTAACAAGTCCATGGGGGCTGATGGCAGACCCCCAGCCTGCCTGCCTAGTCTGAGGCCTCCACCTCCCACTCCAGCTCCTCGGCGCCCCACAGGAAAGACTAAATAGTGGATTGAATACAGTAAAGAGATAATGAGTTATGAATCAGATATTATCCAGAATGCAACTCAATCGGAAAAAAATATATGAAAGAGCAAATAAAGATATGGAGGAACATTTAAAAAGTCTAATGTACATTTAAAAGAAGTTCCAGAAGGAAAGAATAAAGACAAGGAGAAAGGAAATTATTGAAAAGATAATTGCTAAGAACTTTCCAGACATGGATCCTCACAGAAACATAATGAACCTCAAATGGGACATGTAAAAATAAATGCACGCCTAGACATATCTTACTGGAACTACCAGAATACCAAAGACAATGAGAAAAATCTCAGAGAAAAGGTAGATCACCTGTAAACAACAATTACTTTAACGGCAGACTTCTCAACAGCAACAATAAAGGCCATAGTTGATGAAATAACATCTTTAGAGTGCTGAGAGAAAATAACTGTCAACCTAAAAATTCCCAGCTAAAACAACATTAAAGTTAAGGACAAAATGAAGACATCTGCAGATAAAGACTTAAAAAGATTACTATCACAGAACTTCACTGAATGAACTATAAAGGAATTACTTCAGAAAGAAGGAAAGTTAACCCAGAGGGAAAGAGTAGGGTAAGAGCATTGGTGAGAAAAGAAACCAATACACATTTAGATCAACCTTAATGATAACTGACAATAAGACAATAAAAATAACAACAATAGCAACTAATTTAGGAGTAGTTAAAAACAAAGTGACACTAAAATACAAACGGGACATGGGAAGGGGAAATGATGATCAGAGTTAAGGCTTTCTGACATCTTCACATTTTATTCAGGGGAGAGATTAATTAAATTTAAACTTTAAGCCAGTTATTAAAAACTTAAGAGTAACCACTAAAACAGTAAAAACATAATGTATAATCTTCCAAGTCAGAAAGAGAAGAAGAAAAGATACATATTAGTTAATGCACAAGAAAGTGCCACTGGGAAACGGTCTGGCAGTTTCTCAAAAAGTTAAAAATAAAATTACCACATGACCCTGCAATTCCACTCCTAAGTAGATACCCACAAAGAATTGAAAACAGGAACTCAAACAAACACACGTACACAAATGTTCCATAGGAGCATTATTTGTAATAACCAAAAGGTAGAAACAACCCAAATGTCTATCAACAGATAAGTAAATAAATAAAATGTTATATATCCATAAAATGGAATATTATTCTGCCATAAAAAGGAATAAAGTACTAATACATGCAACAGTGTGGATGCACCATGAAAACAATACACTAAGTGAAAGAAGCCAACACAA